GCGCTTAGCTCAGGAGCGGAGCACCGATGTGGCAGAACTGGAGGTGCTGCGCCAGCGAGAGATGGCAGAAAAGAAGACTCGAGCCCTTCAGCGTGCCAGCAGGTGGGTGTTGGGAGTGCTCCGCCCTGTGCCCGCTCCTTCCCGGTGGAGAGCTGAGTGAGGGCCTGGGCCAGCTTCTAAGGCACATGTGTCAAACACAAGGCCCGCGGGCCAAATCCGTCCCGCCAGGCCTTGCAATGTGGCCCGCACCGCGCTGTCATCACTGCACTCCGCTGCGTTTCCATCACAATGACAGTTTATGACTGTTCAGTAAACCATTCGGCCCGCGATTTAGGCTGGATTTTAGATTTTGGCCCCTTCTCTGATTGAGTTCGACACCCCTATTCTAAGGCATGGTGGCCAGACAACATTCTGCAGTTACAACACGCTCTGATGTGCTGACAGAAGAGAAATGGGGATAAATCTTCCAGAGAATTGAGGAATCACCCTGAATGTTTTTGTTTCTGTTTTCACTGCAGGCATTCTCGATTTGGGGGCTCCTACATTGTCCAGGGGTTGAAATCCATTGGAGAGAGGGACGTCATCTTTCACAAAGGTCTCCACAATGTGAGTAAGCTCCCATCTGGGGTGGGAGCGCCATGTGGTGGAGTTGGGGAGCCTAAGGAGGGTCAACATCTCTGGAGGTAAAGATTATCTGTTAGGCCCTAACCGGTGTGGCTCAGTGGATAGAGCTCAGCCTGCAGACTGAAGGGTCCCAGGTTCGATTCCTGGTCAAGGGCATGTATCTTGGTTGTGGGCACATCCCTAGTAGGGGGTGTGCAGGAGTCAGCTGATCGATGTTTCTCTCTCATCAGTGTTTCTAACTCTCTATCCCTTTCCCTTCCTCTCTGTAAAAATCAATTTTGTCTGTGTGTGTGTGTGTGTGTGTGTTTGTGTGTGTGTTTAAGATTCTCTGTTAGGAGAAACAGAGCCTCTGGCATTGTCTTTACCTCTGCCATCCCTTAGGTCTAGTGGGAGAGGACTTTCTAAGTTTCTTTTGAGAAAACTGCAGAACCAGGGGTGTGGGAAGAGCTGCAAGCAGAGGGTGGTGGTTAGGAATAATTCTAATCCCCAACCCATACCCCTAGCTCCGAAACTACAGTTCAGATCTGGGAAAGCAGCCCCGAAGGGTGCCTAAACGCCGCCAGCCTGCCTGGGAGCTGTCCACTCAGCGCCGCTCTGCCCTCAACGTGAGACTCTTCCTCAGAGACTTCTGCTCCGAGTTCCTGGAGAACTGTTACAACCGGCTCATGGGCTCGGTGAAGGTGAGGGCCTAGGAAGGAGGGAGCGGAGAGGTCAGGGCGTCGTGGTGGGTAAGAAGGGCAACTGGGAGGAGCTTACGGGGAGCTGACCCTGGAGTGTGGACTAGTAGGTGGGGAGGGCATAGGCTGCTCCTAAGAGAGAGTGACAATGTCAGAAGAGGAGCAAGTTAAAAGTCTCAAGAAATCACTGCAGATGAAGGGGACGTGAATGTGGAGATACCTGGGAGGAGGGGAGAGGCTTGGGAGTTGTGGGTCCTGGAATAGTGTATGGTAGTGTCCAGGGTCCCTCCCATATCATAGGACAGGAGGAAATTGGAAGCCCCCGGTCACGGATTGGTCTTTTTCCCCTGGACGCTAGGATAACCTGCTTCGGGAGAGAGCCCAGCAGCACGATGAGACCTACTACCTGTGGGCCTTGGCTTTCTTCATGGCCTTCAACCGGGCTGCCTCCTTCCAGCCGGGCCTGGTCTCGGAGACCCTCAGTGTCCGAACCTTCCACTTCATCGAGCAGAACCTCACCAACTACTACGAGATGATGCTGACTGACCGCAAGGAAGCCGCCTCCTGGGCACGCCGGTGAGTGGGAGAGAATTGGAGGCAGCTGGACACAGTGGCCAGGCCAGGAACTTGAACAACTGAACTCTGGATGGTACTCCCTTTTGCGTTTTAGGATTAAGGTGGTCAGGCTGGGGAGCAAGAACTAGCTGGCCCATTCTGGTTCTGAGGGCACTATTTTGTGGGGGGAGTGGTACTGTTTCCATGAGCCTATGTCTTAGTTGTCCTCCTCTCTCCCTCAACTCCCAGGATGCACCTGGCTCTGAAGGCCTATCAGGAGCTTCTGGCCACAGTAAATGAGATGGACGTGTCGCCAGATGAGGCTGTGAGGGAGAGCAGCCGCATCATCAAAAGTGAGGCCCTGGCTTGGTCTCTGACCCTGGCCCTTCCCATCTAGTCCCAGCCTCCCTCATCTCCTTTCCCTAAACTTCCCAGTCCAGTCCTTCCAGTCCTTTTTCTTTCCCATTCCCAGACAACATCTTCTATGTCATGGAGTATCGGGAGCTGTTCCTGGCCCTCTTCCGGAAGTTTGATGAGCGATGCCAGCCCCGCTCCTTCCTCATCGACCTGGTGGAAACCACCCATCTCTTCCTCAAGATGTTGGAACGGTTTTGTCGGAGCCGAGGGAACCTGGTGGTGCAGGTACTGGGCAGTCCCAGATGTGGAAAGAGGTGGGAGGGAAAGGGGGAGGACAGGGCTTCTTTCTCCTCCTCACATTTTCTGTAGCTTCAGCTGACCTGTTAGAACTACTCTGATCCAAGAGGCAAGAGGTTTGTTGAAGAGACTCGATAGTGTTAGTCTACTGTGGCTTCTTCTTCTATTAGATCAATCCCTGATGGACCATAAATATCTTAATTCATTCATAAAGCATTTCTTGAACACTTACTAGGTGCTGATAAGCACAGAAACCCAAGGGGTTCATGGTATTAGAGTTTAGTGATTGTGATGTTTTCTGGTTATACTTCTGAGCTGTAGTGAGACGGAAAGTGAGAAGGGCTGGGATCTCATCCTGTTTCAGTTACTGTTAGAGTAACTGCAGCTGCTTGCGTCAGTCTCCGTAGTCCCAGAGTTGGTTGTAAGATTGCCCGTGAGCCTGAAGTGATGGTAAACGGGAAGTCTGGCGCAGGAAGAAAGCCTCAGGAAATTTGTATCCCATAGACATTCGGGCCTCTGCTTTGTAAAAGTTTTCCCAAAATTCTATCTGCTAAAGTTTCAAGTCAGTCAGAACTGGACTTGAAAGGGACAGTAATATCAATGAGACTTTCCTAGAAGGTATTTTAAAACTCAGGATTCTATTGAATTACCAGCAGTACTGTAATAGTGATATTATTGGGTGTTTACTGTATGTAAGACATTGTGCTAGCTTTCTTGTAATACTCACACCAGTACTAGGGCATATGCACAAAGTGGTTAAAAACTTGTTCAAAGTTTAAATAAATGGCCAAGCGTCAGTACTTAACTCCAGAGTTGCTGGACTCCATGGCTCAAGCTCTTAACCTTTGCTGTGTTTGATTCTAAGTTCCTTGAATAGGGTATGAACCTTAAGGACTCTGTAGCTCATCTTGTTTGCCACACAAGGAGGGGCAGGACAGGGTATTGATTCCTGCTCCTGCTTTTCAGGAGAAAAATTGCAGGCTGTTTCTACAAAGGGCTCTGCCGTTTACAAAGCCTTTTCTTATCCTCACAGCAAGTCTGTTCATCTTATAAACTTCTGCTTGATGTCCCTGCTTTTAGGAAATCTGACCCCAAGAAGTGAGTCAAGTGCTCCTCCTAGGTTTGCTATGGCATTTTCTGCTCAGCCACCTTCTAGGTCCTTCCCCACTGAAACCTCATTCACCAGTCTCCCTCACTGCAAGCTCCTCGAGGGCAAGGAAATGTAGCATATAGTGGTCACTCTGAATGGTTAAGTCATTCAGACACCTAATCTATGTATATATAAAAGCGTAATGTGCAAATCAACCAGACGGCAGAACAATCGGTCTGCTATGATGCACACTGACCACCAGGGGGCAGACATTCAACGCAGGAGCTGCCCACAGCCCACAGGCCCCGATTGCCTGATTGGGGTTTGTGAGCCAACCTCTCGGTCCCTCCCCCTGGTGGGAAGGCTCCGAGGGCCCAGTGGGGAACAGGGAACCAGGGGTGGTTGGTGGCGCGTCTGTCGGGGCCCTGATCGTCCCGCCAGTCACCCATATACACAGAGATAGACCGATGGCGGTGGAGGACAGGGCCACCAAGCAGGTGGGAATGCCCAACCTGCTGGTTCCTCTCCCAGCCAGCAGGCTGTGATCGCTCAATGGGGAACAAGGGGTGGTGGCTGATGCAGGCGGCACCGGGGCCTCGATAGCCCCACTGGTCACCGCACACACACAGGGTGACCGCAGTGGCTGCCGGGGAAGATCGGGCCCGGTTCTAGGTCAGGCCTAGCGATACCACCTGTGCCCGGATTTCAGGCGCCGGGCCTCCAGTTAACAATAGAGAAGACATTGGGGAAAAGGCTTCCTTAGCCCTCCTGCCATTCTCACACAGCTTTCTCCGCAGAACAAACGAAAGAAGAGGAAGAAGAAAAAGAAGCCTGTTGCCTCTGGTAATGTCGCCTGCAGCCCAGGGGGCCTGGAGGCCCTGTGGCCCTCCCTGGCCGAGCAGCTGCAGTGCTGTGCCCAGGTAGGTAGTTGCAGAAACCCTGTCTTTCTCAGGGTAGTGCTGTGGGTTGGCTCTCTGGTTCCTTCTTCTCTGTCCATAGCCTTAATCTCGCTCTAGGATCCTGAGCTCCGTTTGGACTCCGTGGTTCCCTTTGATGCAGCCTCAGAGGTGCCAGTGGAAGAGCAGCGGGCAGAAGCCATGGTGCGGATCCAAGACTGTCTGCTGGCTAGCCGGGCCCCTCAGGCCCTGACTCTCCTTAGGTCTGCCCGGTAAGAGCCCTGCCCACCCAGCCTCCGGGTCCAGCTCTTGGCTTTTAGGGCCAAAGGGAGACTTTTTTATGCTACAGGGGCCCCGTCTTCAAAAAAGACAAGTCCCATCTGAAGTCCTGGGGCTCTAGACTAAGTCCTGAGTCTTGGGGAGGATTTTTTTTTTAAATTGATCTTAGAGGAAGGGAAGGTGAGAGAGAGAGCGAAACATTGATTGGTTACCTCCCAATTGAACCTGCAACCTGGGTATATGCGCTGACAGGGAAATGAAGCCGCCACCTTTGGGTGTATGGGATGATGCTCCAACCAACTGAGCCACACCGGCCAGGGCAGACCTGGGAGTTTTGATTCATCTGTTGGGTGGTTTTGTTTGATAAAACAGAAAGTACAGTTAATGGGGCGGGGAGAAAAAAGATAACCTATGAGCCAAAGATAGCAATTTTTAACATTTTTTTTTTTAAAAATTTATTGTTGAGCCAAAACTGGTTTGGCTCAGTGGTAGAGCGACGGTGTGCGGACTGAAAGGTTCCAGGTTCGATTCTGGTCAGGGGCATGTACATTGGTTGCCGGCACATCCCCGGTAGGGGGTGTGCAAGAGGCAGCTGGGCGATGTTTCTCTCTCATCGACGTTTCTAGCTCTCTATCCCTCTCTCCTCCTCTCTGTAAAAAAATCAATAAAATATATATATATTTTTTTAAATTTATTGTTGAGAGCCGAAACCGGTTTGGCTCAGTGGATAGAGCGTCGGCCTGTGGACTGAAGGGTCCCAGGTTCGATTCCGGTCAAGGGCATGTACCTTGGTTGCGGGCACATCCCCAGTAGGGGTGTGCAAGAGGCAGCTGATTGATGATTCTCATTGATGTTTCTAACACTCTATCCCTCTCTCTTCCTCTCTGTACAAAATCAATAAAATATATATATAAAAAAAATTTATTGTTAAGAATATTATAGATGTTCCCCTTTTCCCTGCCCTCCACCCAGTTCCCACCCTGCCCCAGGCTTTTACCACTTCGTTGTCTGTGTCCATAGGTTATGCATAAATGCATGTAAGTTCTTTGGTTAATCTCTTCCCGCTCCTCCTCCCCTTTCCCTCTGAGATTCAACAGCCTGTCCCACGTTTCCATGCCTCTGGCTCTTTTATTCATCAGTTTATTTTGTTCATTAGATACCTTGTTCTTTTATTTTTATTTTTAAATTCAGTTGTTGATAAACATGTATTTATTGCCATTTTATTCATATTTTTTATCTTTTTTTTCTTCTTACTAGTTTTCTCTTGCTGTTTTTAAGATTCTCTGTCTTTAAACTTTGGCATTTTAAATATGCTTTGTCTTGGTATGGGCCTCTTTGGGTTCCTCTTGTTTGGGACTCTCTAGGTTTCCTGGACTTGTAAGTCTATTTCTTTCACCAGATAGAGGAAGTTTTCTGTCATTTCTTCAAATTGATTTTTAATACCTTGCTCTCTCTCTCTTCTCCTTTTTTTTTCCTCTTCTCATTCTGGCATTTCCATAATGCAAATGTTGGTGCCCTTGAAGTTGTCACAGAGGCTCCTTACACTATCTTCATATTTTTGGATTTAATTAATTAAAAAAAAAAATTTTTCTCTCCTGACAGGGTATTTTTTGTTCCTCATATTCCAAATCCATCATTAACATTTTGATGAGTTACCATCCAGAGTTTTTCCCTTTGTTAGATGTAGACATATCATCTGCAACTTCTCTTTAAAAAATGAAATATTGCACATACTGATATATAGTATTTTTTTCATTTCTTAGTATATTGTGAGCATTTCTCATGAGGTATATTTCTATAATTGCATGGTTTTGAAACACCATTATTGCCTTAGCTGGGTTGACTCGGTTGGAGTGTCATTCTGTACATCACAAGTGTCATTCGATTCCTGGTCAGGGCACATACCTGGGTTTTGGGTTCGATCCCTGCTTGGGGTATGAATGGGAGGCAGCCAGTCAATGTTCCTTTCTCTCACCCTTTCTCTCTCTGAAATCAGTTTAAAAAAACAACTCAAACATATTCTTGGGTGAGGATTTAAAACATCATTTGTGAGTATGTACATCTGTTTAACCAGGTGTCAAACATTTAGATTGTTTGCATTTCTTCTTTTTTGTTTTGTTAATCCTCACAGGAAGATATTTTTCCATGATTTTTAGAGAGTGGAAGGGAGGGAGAGAGAGAAACATTGATGAAAGAGACATACATCGATTGATTGCCTCCCGCACGTGCCCCATCCAGGGCAGGCCAGAGATCAAGCCTGCAACCAAGGTATGTGTCCTTGACCAGAATAGAATCTGGGACCTTTCAGTCCACGAGTCAATGCTCTATCCATTACCCCAACCAGCTAGGGCTGCATTTGTTCTTATGTGATTTTCATTGCACTGTGGCTTATGAGAAAAAATTTCCCTGGAGTCTTTGTTGCTTCTTTGAGATAATAGTTTGCATTCTCTTTCCAGCTGACAAATAAGTCTAAATTCCTTCTCCCACTTCAAATTATAACTCAGATTCCCTCTGGTTAAAGCCTTTTTTCTCTCTGTGTTCCAGAGAGGTGTGGCCAGAGGGAGATGTGTTTGGCTGTCAAGACATTTCCCCAGAGGAAGAGATCCAGCTGCTGAAGCGGATCCTCTGGGCCCCGCTACCCCGTGAGTCTCCATGCCCCTCCCAGCTCCCTGCTTCTAGCTCTCTCTAGCACCAGAGACCCAGCAATCGTCACTCTTCCTATAGGGCAGCGGGGGCCAGAGGAACGAGGGGCAGAGGAGGAAGAGGAAGAAGAGGAGGAGGAGGAAGAGGAGGAGGAGGAAGAATTGCAAGTGGTCCAGGTGTCGGAGAAAGAATTTAATTTTCTGGACTACCTGAAACGGTGCGGGCCGGGAGGACTGAGTGGTCCCAGGCGGGAGATGGAGGGGCTCTGAGCAGTGTCTCACGCCCACATTCTCTCCCTCCCTCTCCTGGTGCAGCTTTGCCAGCTCAGCTGTCGTCCGAGCCTATGTGCTGCTGCTGCGGAGCTACCGGCGGAACAGCGCCCACACGAACCACTGCATCGTCAAGATGCTGCACCGGTTGGCCCACGACCTCAAAATGGAAGCCCTTCTCTTCCAGATCTCACTCTTTTGCCTCTTCAATCGTCTGCTTAGCGACCCTGCCGCTGGGGCCTACAAAGTGAGGGGATACTCAGGGCGGGCTCTGAAGGCTTCGGGGCGTCCTGAGTGGGGCAGAGGGCTGGGAGATGAGAGAGCGGTGAGGAAGTAGGCCGTCTGGTTGAGGAGCTCGGTGGGGAGGGAGAGAAGAGAGTCTGAGTGAGGCGGGGCAGCTGGGAACAGGTGTCGAGAAAATACTTAGAGGGCCTGACTGTGCACATTCAGGCGAGAGGCCTCACGGCAGCCTTCCTCTCCCACAGGAGCTAGTGACTTTTGCAAAATACATCCTGGGCAAGTTCTTTGCCTTGGCTGCAGTCAACCAAAAAGCCTTCATGGAGCTGCTGTTCTGGAAGAACACATCTGTGGTTCGAGAGATGACCGAGGGCTACCGCTCCCTGGACAGCGGGTGAGCTGCAGGACGGGCAGCAGGGGTGGGTGACACAGTCACGGGCTGTCAGAGCTGTGCCGTGGCCGGCAAACTCGGCTCGAGAGCCACACGCGGCTCTTGGCCCCTTGAGTGTGGCTCCTCCACAAAATACCACGGCCTGGGCGAGTCTACTTTGAAGAAGTGGCATTAGAAGAAGTTTAAGTTTAAAACGTTTGGCTCTCAAAAGAAATTTCAATCGTCGTACTGTTGATATCTGGCTCTGTTGTCTAATGAGTTTGCCGGCCACTGAGTTGGTGCCACTTTTTTCCCTGCGTAGCTGAGAAAGCAGGCCCCGAAGGCGAAGTGCTTCACCACAGGTCACCCGGGAGAAGGAAGGGCCAGGAGCCTGCCAGCTCTAGTTTCCTTCTCCTCCGGAGCTTCCGGGGGCGGAGGCCCCCAGGGAGAACCTAGAATGCGCTGGCGAATCATGAGGATTCATAGAAATGTCTGGCCTCTTTTCCTTAGTGTCGCAGCTCCTCTCTTTGCACACTTCTTTCTTTTTCCCATAATGCTCTGGGTCCCTGCAGTGTCAGACTCCATAGGCCCACCCTGGAAAACCTCTTAGTTTGACTTTTGGGTTAAGTGGGATGAAAGTGGAGGGGAAGGAAGCCTATCGTAGGCCCTCTGCTGGCTGGCTCCTTTGAGGTATCTCTTTGTCTTTCTTGTTCCTTTTACTTTATTTATTTATTTATTTATTTATTTATTTATTAATATTCTTGTTCCTTTAGAACTAACCAGAGAAGACGCTTGGTCTCCTTTTTTGGGCCCATAGCCTACACGCTTCCCTGTCTGTTCCCCATTCAGATCGAGCCGTAAGCCTCCTGCGTGGAGCCCGGAAGAGGAGGCCCAGCTTCGGGAGCTGTACCTGGCCCATAAGGACGTGGGAGGTAGGAGGCCTTGAGGTCTGAAGATTGTGTGCGGAGGACAGCATGAGCTCCGGACGCCTCCTTACTGCCTCCTCCTCCACCGCAGGTCAGGATGTGGTGGACACCATATTGGCACACCTGCGAACGGCTCCTCGGACACGCAAGCAGGTCATCCACCATCTGGTGCGGCTGGGACTGGCTGACAGCGTCAAGGACTTTCAAAGGTAGAGGCACATGTTCTGGAGGGAATTGAGGTGGGGAATGCTCTATCCGCTGCCTCGGCCGCCTCTCCCACGGACACATTCCTCAACAGGAAAGGAACCCGCATCGTACTGTGGACAGAGGACCAGGAGCTGGAGCTGCAGCGGCTTTTCGAGGAGTTCCAGGCCTCAGATGGTAAGTGAGGTAGAAGTTCAGGGAATCTCCGAGAGGAGAGCCGTGCTGTCCATGTCTCCCCCCTGCCTCCTGCTTCCAAGTAAGGCTTGTCCCAGCCCTTCTGTCCACTCACTGTATTTGTGGTATCATTTTCGAGTGAATCAAGCTCGCTTCTCTCCTCTGATTGCCTTTACTTATCTTCCCTCTACTGCTCTTGCGTATCCACACTCTCCTTCCTTATAGACGTCCTGGGTCACATCATGAAGAACATCACAGCCAAACGCTCACGGGCCCGAATAGTGGACAAGCTGCTGGCCCTGGGGCTGGTGGCTGAGCGGCGGGAGCTGTACAAGAAACGCCGGAAGAAGTCGGCACCTTCGGGCTCGGTAATGACCTCCCCCAAGTGCCCAGGGTCTTCCTGCTTCGGCTGTTCTGACGAGGTCCCCCCCGGACCCAAGGACTCCACTCGGTTCCTCACCTTGTCTCCTTTCCTCTCCCGCCCCC